CTGGTAAATACTCTTTTCTTACGTTCCGATTTTCTGCCTCTACCATAATAAATAAATTTGATTTATGTATATATATTCAAGATGGATCAGTTTAGAAGGCTTCTTAGCGTCAGTTTCTCACCTTCGAAAGCCTGTGAAACAGTCAGTATATTCATTTTGAGACAAATATATATTTATATTCGACATGACATCACGATTTGCTTGGCTATAAATTTGTGCATCGAAGAGAAAATGCGTATCTGAAGTTGCTATTTGTAAATCCCACAGTGGGTCCAAAAACTGTTCGCCACTTTTAGTTTTCATTTTTGTCGTCGACCGTAGCAGCGAGAAATAAATTTGGAAAAAGATTTGAACAGCTGAAAGAATTTCCGATCTCAGGTGATGTACACAAACGTTCCATCAAAACTCTTGAAATAGGGGTCTCTGGAAAACCAAAATCTCAGAAAATCATGATCCTGAGTTTATCTGTCATGTGGAGCAAACATTTGTGAAGAAAATGAGACGTCTCCAACAAATGTTTGCTCTACATGACAGATGTATTTGCAAAGGATTTTCAGATTAAACTCGGGATCATGGTTTTCTGAGATTTTGGTTTTCCAGAGATTTCAGGAGTTTTGATGGAACGTCATATTTGACCTATAAAGAATTGAACCAATTATACGTAGGGTTTGTTTAGTCAGAATATTGTAGAGCTTTTCAAGAGCTATTTTTCTATTTGCTAGCCTCGAAGGTTTACCGTCGTGCTGCACATCAAGATACGCAGAGAAAAGACATTTTCACTCAAATTTCAAAGTAGTTTTAGTACGTTTCGTGATTATTTCTAAACCTTTTCTTTTCTTTGAAGGGATTTTGATCGGCATGCAGCTGGTATTATTGATGAATGTTTTCGAATCGATTAAGATTTTGCAACTGAATTACTACACTCCAATGCAGTTGCATTTTACAATTGCATAGCAATAAATATAGCTCGTGAAGCTAACTGTCAAGCGTTTCTGGCATCGGAAACCGTACAAAACGATGTAACTAGACGCTGGTATGGTTGATTCAATGCAAAGCGAAAAGTGTGGAACAGATCTGTTCACTTTTGGGTTTGTAGTCATTCGAGTATTCAGAAAGCTTGTTTTTTTATCGACAAGTTGTGTTGTTTTAGGTCTGGTTATTCTCCGTAATAGTACCGTTATTACCACTCTTTGTCGCATTTCTACCAAAATTAGCATTCTCTGGAAAGGTATTTGTAAGGGAAGCCGTTAAAAATAATGAAATGCGTAGAACCTAGACGCAGACTATATTCTACGCGTCGAAAATCTATACGCAGAATTTATTTTCTAGGCGTAGATATAAGGTGCCGCTAATTCAAAAATCAAGTGGAAAAGCTTTTGAATTTTCAAACACATATTCTGATTCGTCGGACGCTGCTGATCGCGAATCTGACTTTATTTTTTCGATTTGATCGACTTTTCATGCAGAAAATCTCAAAATACTGTGACGGCATCAAAAACCTCGAAAAACCCATTTTTCAGAAAAATCCTGATTATCTCCTGATCTTCTCATTTTTCGATCTCACCAATACGATTTTCGGATTCAGCATCGCGAAGCACATCTATGCACTTGGCATTCGATGACTTTTCTTCAAGACTTAAACTCTTGTGGCTGATCAAACTCTGATCGCTCGAACCTTGAGGTTCTCCAAATCACCAATTATACTATAGTAGCGAACTAAATAAAGAATATTTATAAACACGCCATCATCCACCGGTACCACAAAATAAGATGGTCCATAGCAACATGGTCAAACAAATACAAAAAAGGAATGTTTTGTATTTACACGTGTGCAGAGCGCAAAGATATCTATTTTGTTTCGAACTAGTTTTTCGAGTTAGAAAACAAAATCAAAACTATTTGCGCTCGAAAAAGAACGACCATTTTTATGAAGCTAAGGGTGGACGAAGGCGTGACTTAAAAATACTTGAAAAACATTGAACCGTTATCTCATCACCAATTCGTTGTTTGATTACTAATCCATTTTCTTGGATTGCCGTTAATTCTCGAACGATAGGATTCAGCCATTTATTGATATCTGGCTTCCCATAGCCCACAACTACCGATAGTAACAACGTATTTCGACGTCTATAACGGATATGAGAAGGTAGCTCGATTACTGTAGAGCTTAAGGCCCATAAACCCAATTTTGAACTCTTGACTAATGGTAATCCATCTAAATGCAGCTGCAAGCTAATAAATGGACAGTCACCTTGTTCACGATGTTTCTTCAGTGCTTTTTGATAAATGTGATCTATAAAACGGTGAGAAAAAATTCTGTATCATCGAAATGTTCTTGCCTTATCCGGCTATTCAAAATTCCATATAATTTTTAAAATGCACTAAGCAGAAATGCAGAACAACTGAGAGTCAGTTTCTGATATTTTTAGGCACGGTCTGAAAATATCAGGAAATCTCACATATACCTAGACAATTGAGATAATCAAAAATAAAACATGTGGAAAGAAAGCCCAAAACATTCTGTTTCTAGGCCAACGGTTTATCTCCATGTTTAAGGTTGTAAATAGCCGAAAAATACGAAAACATTTGGCTAGAACTTTTTCTCACCCGTTACTATATCATCGTTTTTTTCAAGGAAGTCTTTTTTGTTAAAATTTTTCCTATAATTTTGAATTTCCTTCAAATTACGAATAACAATTCGTTCTAATTGTGCTTTTGCATTAGATGTGTATACGGAAAAACTTTGTGGATATAATGTACGATATTGTTTACATGAATTATTTGTACATAATCTAACTTTTGGGTCAATTTCGTGATAACAAATTGCACATAAAATTCTTTTGGAAAAATAATTAAATATACCTACATTGTCTAATAATTTATCGAATGAATTAGGTAGATTATTTGGAAATGGCAGAACACGTGAAAATTCTTTTAAAATTTCATTCATTATACTTTTACTCAAACATGATTTTCTATTCATTCTTAATAAATTTTCGCACGTTTCACCTACAATGGCGCGTGTATATTCATGAAGAGGACGGGTATCTTTGACATATGAGGGCTTACAATTTATTAACAAAATAATAAATTGCTCCGTTTCTAGCATAAACAGCTGACCCACACTTTTTTCCGAATAAATGGCTATACAGTTGCTATCAGCGTAGGTTGTCTAGCATAAATGGCACAGCCATTTATTACTCTCCAGCATAAACGGCTCTTTCCCTTTCATAATTTGTCTATCCCGGAAGGTCATCTAGCATAAATGGCTCATATCCAGCATAAATGGCCTTTTTTCGAGCATAAATGGCTCTGCCATTTATTAACCTGTAGCATAAATGGCATAGCCATTTATTACTCTCCAACATACGCGGTTCTTTCTCTTTCATAATTTGTCTATCCGGGACGGTTGTCTATCAGACCTCAATTTAAAAGAGGTCGAAACGTTTCATTATCTTAAATATATGTTTTAAATATTTTTAAACTGTTTTAATAGAATACAAAATTACAGTTTCTTCCCTTTCAATAATCTCATTTTCATCGTCCACTCAGCATGAGTACTCCGCTTCTCGAATTCTCGGAAACATCGAGAGGAAAGCGGTCACTAGTTTATGAACTTTTCGCACAAAAACAGTTTGTGCAAAAGCATTTTACCGAAACATGATTTTATCGAAAAGGCCGAGCTATAGCTTATGCGAACAAAAGACGAGAAATTACAAAGAATGACTAAAAATTACTATCCTTGTACAAGTCTCTCTCTAATATCAAACTGCCTGACTTAATCTGTCCTTCAATGTTGAGAGATATAAAATAGCCTTTGTTTCTGTAATGCTGGAGAGTAATAAATGGCAGAGCCATTTATGATAGAGAACCGTCCCAGATAGACAAATTATGAAAGAGAAAGAGCCGATTATGCTGGAGAGTAATAAATGGCTATGCCATTTATGCTAGAGGTTAATAAATGGCAGAGCCATTTATGGTAGTAAAAAGGCCATTTATGCTGAAGAGTGTCTTCTAGAACAGATTTTCTTTCCACGATAGGGAGCCATTTATTCTAGAAATACTGTGGGTAAGCCATTTATTCTTGAAACGGCGCAATTTATTTATCTAGTAATAAATTGTAACTGCTGCTCGACGGTGCTTTTCAGTACGTTCTTCTAATCTCCTTTCATTATTATTACTAGCTATATCGGCAATAGCATTCCACATTGTGGATTACTACCTAAAAATCGTGATCTAATTGTAAAATTTCTGTGTGCGTATCCGTATGCAAATCCTGCTTAAGTCTTATAGACAGACAATGGCCATGGTTTTTAAAAAACAAATATCCAAGGATCAGTGTCAACATGTGTTTTTTCTGAGATATATCTTGATCAAAGAGAAACGTAGCCCTATAAAAAAAATTTCAGTGCGGCACTGGTAAAAATCAGTGCAGCACTGAAATTTACTTAATCAGTTTAATTAGTTTTTTATTATGGTTGTTTCTACTGAATTTTGTATTAGAGTGCGGCACTGATCAGTACCATATTGCGATGCCAAAACCATGCGGCATTACCTCCACACTTCTCTTATGAGAAGGAAAAGATGAAGTCAGAAAGACATTCGAAATATTAGAAGCATACTATGGTGTTAATATAGACAGAAATTGACAAAACAAAATGGTGATTGAAAACAAAACTTCGGCACTGGTGCGAGATTTTTATATATTCATTCTGGCACTGGTGCGCACCAGTGCCGACAAAATTTTTTTTATAGGGAGAGCTATGAGGTAGAACATCAACAGAGAGACATGAAGATATAAAACTAGATAATGCTATTGTATTGAACAAGACCTCTTTTATCAAAATCATTAAAAGTCGATGAGGATGTCTGTATTATGACCAAAAACCGGTACAGAAAGAACGTAATTCAATTTTGTATTTAAGGGCCCCCTCAGAAATGGTAATTTTCGGTCAAAAAATTGGTTTTGAGATACGTACATGGAAAGATAGCCTGAAATGTCTACTTCCAGAATTTGTATCGTTTTTGGTTACAAAACTGGTTTTTCAGGGATTTTGAGCAAGTTTTCTAAGAGCCTCGAAAAATAGGGTCTTCAAATAATAGTTTTTTCCTCGATGCTTATGCAATTAAAATTTTTCTGAACACACAGCTCTCGGTAGAGCAAACGTTTCTGATCAAAATAAGACCACGCACAACTCTGTATGACCTTGCCTCAAAATCCTAGAAGTCCTAAAATCGAGTATTTCATACAGCGTTTTCTCTATATAAGAGTTACACCTAAAGTGCGTTCCAAGATTTTTAATAGCGGTTTGTCTTAGACAGTTCATTCTTTTTTTGTTTAAAAGAGGAAAAGAAACTATATGGACTAACCGGCGCCGATTTTTGAATTAGATCTTAGATTTTTGTCCAGCTGAGGACTTTTACAAAATCCGTAAGGATTTTTCGGGTATTGGAGGTTGTTGATTGTCTTGTAAACCAATAAAGGCTTAATTAAAAAATCGACGCCGGTCAGTCCATGTAGTTAGGTGTCTACGTTAAAATAAAACAAATCCGAATCCTCCAGCTTGAAGTATATTATAAAATCTCAGGATGCACTTCAGGGTCCTTTTTGAACCTTGATCTCTAGAAAACTCCTAATCCGTAAGACTTGGAGACAAAAAAACTTTTTCATTCCCGTAACTCATCGTGCCTAACGTTTATGGAAAGTTTCGTCAAGATCGGATGTACGGTGTCGGAGATAATTTCTGAGGGGGGTCCTTAAAGAAAAACAACAATCCGGCTTTTCGTAGAAGCAACTAAGAACTTTTAATATTCGAAAAGAAAGCAAAATGGTTTGAATTGTGTCAGCGCTTTTATGCGCATCAAACTGCAGAAGATTCTTAAATTGAAATTTTATTGCAAAAAATGAGTGGAAGAAGCTACAATAACAGATATGTCTAAGTTTTTTTATGAGATACTGCATGCCAGTTCCACATGCGTTATGATAGAAAACTTAAAACTTGTTTTTTCTATAGACATTGGCTTTACCAACTTAGTTATACTCTCATTATTACGTTGTAAATATAAAAATGTGAATTTGATTAGACACAAGTGCATTCGAGAAAATGCGATGTGATAAATCTGCTTTAAAAAAACAATTACTGAGAAAGAAAATGTCCAGAGGAAAGAATACTATAAGATACTAAAACAAACAAAAAAATAAAAAAACATGGTCACTAAGAAAGACCGTATGATGATGCACAAGAGCAAAGTCAACCTTTCCGCACAAAGACAGAACTATAGCTTCTACGGAGGAAACATACTTAAGACTTAAAAAATTTCAGGAATGGCGTAACTGCGAACCTTATTTTTATATATTCTACAGTTCGAAAATTACGAATTAATATATGCGTTTTAAGATTAAAATAGAGTTGGTTCATATATGAAGTCGAATAAAATAGTTCCTAATTATAATTGAAATTACCATGTCTTTTTAATGAACCTTTATTAAATTAATAACAATTTGATAAAAATTCATGACGCAGACAAAGTAATTTCAATTATAATTAGGAACTAATATACTCGTTCTAAAATTTTGCACATAAAGTAACACGAATTCAAAAATTGTTTCAGCAATCATCATCGCTTATATACTTCGAAACGTTCTGTTATCATGTTGAATGACGAAGACTTTTTTTACAAGCATGCACACAGCGTTCGTCACTGGTCTTACGAAAAGCCTGATAAAGTTTCGAGAAAAATCCGCAAAAACTTTTCTATTACCCGCTTCTTACTGAGTGTTATTCGTAAAAAATAAGATTTTACTGCTAAGAATGTTTCTAACATCAGTTTTCCGAGGTCCTAGCGTTTAGCATTTCTTGAAGGGCTATGCAATTTCTTTCATAACACGACCTGTTTCCTTAGCAGCAACATCCGTTTCCAAAAAAGTCGGTGTTTGCATTCTCTAATTCACATTACAGCTACTTTGTTCGTTTCTGAATTTTCTTTAAAAAACGGAAAGAAAAACCGTACGTACGGCAGAAAGAAAAATACACACATCACAAGAAAAGCATGTATAATAGAAAGTTAAACATACTTCAATTTTAAAGTGGAGAAGTTAATTTTAATAAAGCTTTAAATAAGATTAGCCATATAATGACTTAATGACTACAAAATCTGAAAAAGAAAAGAAACAGACCAGAAAGCAAACAAAAAAAAGATATGAAGTTTGAGTATGGAAAGCTAGACAAGCTCTAACCATTTTAATCTGCAGCCTAGTTTTAACATTAGTGAAGCTTTTTTCTCAAGGACATGACTGTTTTGAATTTTTTGAGTAAGACTCTCATGGCGTAGAGACATTTCTTACTCATGCAAAGCGTATTTTTTTCGGAAGTCATGCACTTAAATTTCTTGAGATCAAGCGCATTTTATTCATCTTGCAACAGGTCTAATATTTTTAAAAAAGAGAGGATTACCGTTGTATATAGACTAGAACCTTGTCTTTATAAACACAAATGATTTCATTTTTTTAACATAGTGCAAAATTATGTGTTTTTGTTCTTTTTACAAAGGAATTATTCCAAAAAAATTAAGTATTTTACAAAGTAAGTGCACAGCATTTCCGAGAGAGGGAGAGAGCGAATTTTAAAAGAGAAATACATCCTTCCAATTTTTCCTTAGTCACAGAGTTGAACTATATCCTTGTTTTGCCATATTACGAGTTTTCTTTATCTTTGTCAGATAATGCGTAAAATCCACGATATCTCCTTCTGTATAGATTCAGTTAAACGCAGTAACTGTGCAAGATCTCAAAACAAAAATGCACAGAAGTGAGAAAATGCATCCAAGATTCATGTCTTCACAAATGTCAGTATCCTCAGTGTAAGATCGCTTTGCCGTTAGTGACTTTCAGGATGTAGCAAAGATCAGTTCGGTCCTGTTTGACGCACAGAGGATTGGGGCTCAGCCATTCCGCCTCATTCACAGGATGCTAGAATGGTTCTAGCAACGAACTGGTCCGAGCGATAATATCCACGAGTATACACTCTCTGAAAGTTGCTCGATGCTTCACATACGGCAAACGTAACCTTATTGGTAACACTCACAAGTGAATGGACTAAAAGACATCAGTCTTGCTCACTTTTAATTTAAGATCATTTGCAATCATATAATCGAATCAAAATTGAGAAACACAACGAAGTGGGACTTAGTTTACCTGAGCAAGAACTGTTTCTGAAAAGTTAACGCCGCCTTATCGAAAATAAGATAGTTCAACAGTATGACTACGGACTAGGAAGTGTTCATGTACAGTAGAAGAACAGCCGGCCGAAATTGCTGTGTACTTTCTCTGACTCTGTGTTAATATTGACTTTTTCTTTTCAGATAAAGGTTATAGCGTGATGGAAGCATC